CCAAACTCTACTATTTTTTGGGTTTTACTTTGGTAAAAATCAACTAAATTCTCTCGAGCACAAAAATCTCTGAAAACTTTTCGAAGAGGAGATAGTCTCTGGGAGGTCTGAGGGAGAGTACACGTGAGTGAGGAGCCCATAGATTAAGAGGTGGGGTTGGGGCTGTAAAAATTCCTTCATCTATAACCTCATCCAAACTAGCCGAACTTAGGGAGAAATATTACATTCCTCACTACGTAGAGATGTTAGTTCTCGAGGCCCATGAACTTGCCTACTTTTCGAGGCCGAGTTGTGTGGCCATTAGTGAATTCCTACTGAAATTAGGAGTGCGTCTGCCTCTGCATCCCTTTTTAGGGCAGTGTTGAGGACCATCATTTAGTTGGGGCCTACTTCCTTTGAAAGGAGGTATCTTTAAGTGTGGACATGCCCCTGCATGTCTAAGTGAGGACATGTCCCTGCATGTCTTTCTAACCATTTTCCAAGTTAGGGTGGTTGGGGAAGGATGGCTCCAATGGGCGGTATTACCTTACACCCAGGGAGAGCTCATGCTCCTTTTGTTGTGGGGCTTCCTTCCTTTATAAAAGGCTGGAAAGAATCTTGGTTCTGGGTAAGGGGTAGATGGCAGAGGGTGGAGGGTGGAGGAAGACACTGTCTCGGCCTGCACGGTGCCTACCCAGTATTATGAAGCACGTAAGTTCTTCACTCTACATGGCTTTCATTAATTTTTTGTGCCTCATGCTAATTTTTTTATTGTTTGCAGATTCTGGCATGCGCTTCGAACTTCATGAGGGAGAGTGGGATGTGACTGAGGACATCTACAAGCGATACTCGAAGCTTCGCACTTTCGACCACCTCATTGATCGAAGTGGATACTTTATTGATTGTGGACTAATGGCCCCCAAAGGTATGAGGCTCTTTTATTTGTTTTGATTTCATTTAGCTTACTGTATGCTTCTAACCTCTTATTGGGTATTTGTAGACAAATTCTCCAAGAAGAAGTATCCCGTCCCTGACATGGCCACTATACTGAAGGCCACAGCCCCAACTGGTGCCAAGGCCCTGAAGCCCTCATTCTCTGAGGCTAAGCAAGTGAGAGGCAAGTTGGAGCACCTCAGTAGGGTCAATGTCGAGAAGGAAGCTGAGGAGGAGGCTCCCAGAAGGGCAAGGGGGTTGTTAACAGAGGGAAGGGGAAAATGGAGGAGCCCTAGAAGAAAAGAAAACTGGTCCACATAGGTGGGGATCTAGTGAAATTTGGGACTACTGTGTCCGATTCTGAGAAAGATGTTCCCCAACAACCGAAGCTCATGGAGTCGGCAATAAAAGTAATAAAGAGTGAGCAAGTTCGGAAGGCTCAGAACGAGGCTATTGAAGAGGGAGCGTTAGCCGCCGATACCACCAAGAAGGGCAAGGTGGAGAGGACCCCTGGTAAATCTGAGAACTTTTTGACTGGGAGGGATGATAAGATTGTCCCGACCATGATTGAGATGCTACAACCTGAGTTTAGAAATGCCATAGAGAATTTTAACAAGTTCTGGACAGAGCAGTGGTAAACGTATGTGTCCACCTGTGATGTGGTGGACCTTACTACAACTTTGGTTAGCCAAAGTGCTAGGGCTTTTGGGGTGGCCCTTGAATGTCAGGAATTTTTTGCTGACATTCAGCGAAGGAACAGAACCTCGGTGGAGAAACTTGCTGCTGTCGAGGCTGAAGTAAAAAAGGTGAATTCTAAGACTGAGTTGACGAGAGCCAAGCAGGTTGAGGATGAGGCAAAGCTGAACTCTGCACTAGCTGAGATAGATGCTCTGAAATAGGAGGTCTATGAATCCCAATGTGAAGTAGCCTCATTATCTAAGAAGGTGGAGACCTCAGACAACCACCTTAACTAAGAAGGTGGTGACCTTATCTAATTAATTAATCAAAAATTAATTTTCGATCACAATTTATCAAATTATTGGTCACAAATTTTTTCTCGATCATGGATTACTTCTTGAACACGAATCAAAATTTCATAGATCACATATTATTTATCAGTCACTAATTGAAAATTTTATTGGTCACAACTCATTTATTCATTGCAAATCGATCACAACTTATCAAATTATTGGTCACGATTTATTTTTTGGTTACAGGTTATTTCTCGGTCACGAATGGAAAATTTTATAAGTCATAAATTATTCATCGATCACAAAATCAAAATTTTTATTGGTCACAACTCGATTACAACTTAATAAAATGTGAGTCACAGTCACAATCTTTAGATTACATATGATTTATTGGTCAAAAATTAACCAATTATTGGTCACAATCAACCAAATAATTAGTCACATACACCCACCCAGTCTCATCCCACACACGACCATTGCCACGATCACGACCACCATTGCCACGACCACCATCACCAAAACCATTACCTCAACACTGCCTCCAGCAGCAACACCGCCACCGTCATCTCGCCAGAAGCACCATCACCTCACCACTGCCTCAGCAGCATCACCGTTGTCGCCGAACCACCACCACTTCCCAACCAAAACATACCACAGATATGCTTCGCTTGCAGATCTCACATACCACCACACGAACAATCTGAACCTATCGTACACCTAACCACTGGTCAACACCACGGCACAACCACCACCGCACATAGCCCAACTATACAACCGCACCTAATCATCGAACACAGCACCATTAAATCTAACCACCACACCCAACACCTCACCACAATACATCACCACCGCACGTAACCACTGCACCACACCCAACCATCGTACACCGTAACCACCAACCACACGGCATCGTAATCGCAAAACTACCGTCGCACCATCTGAACCCATTGTCATTTGAACTCGTCGGATCCCACTAGAGCCACCGCTGCTATGCCGTGTTGTCTGAGATGACGCTATCACTCTCAAAGCTTTAAACACAAGGATGATGCCGTCGAACTCAAATCGTGCTGCGTCGATGCCTTCAGATCAATGCTGCTCTCAAATCGACGGGCGACAAATTGTGGTAGGCATGGCGACGGCATAGTGACTTGCCTGAAAGATATTGGAGAAGGGAGATGAGAGTGAGAGAGAGAGAGAGAGAGAGAGAGATTTAGGTTTTAAATTGATTTTAGGGTTTGGATGGATAGATAGGGTGTATATAAATTAATTTATATTATTATTATTAATAATAAAATATTAATTTATAATAATTAAATGAATATATGATATTTGTATAATGAAACTTGATACCTGATTTATGAAAATTGTATTTTAAAACCAGGTGTAGGTGTAATTTCCTCATATTAGAGTTGTATTCGAATATGGGCTAAATACATATGAAAACTATAAATACGGTTAAGGTCCCCAATTCATATGTAACTTCTCATTTTTTATGTCATCCAATCAACATAAAAATACAAGAAAAACGATATTGAAGAGGAAGATCCAAAATCCACAATAAAAAATTACAATCAAGAATAAAGAAGAAGGATCGAAACAATCAAATTGAAGAACAACACAATCAAGATTATGGAGTAAAGAAGCCAAAATTAAGATCAAGAACTTAAGAGTCAAAA